GAGACCCTGTCTCAAAAAAAAAAAAAAAAAAAAAAAAAAAAGTACTATGCTCACTACATTTTCTGGAAAATGATAAAAGTATTAACAGCTTAAATTAAATCTTAATTAAGGTTGCAAGATTTAATAGACAAACTAACAATAGAATGACAAGTTGAAAAATAAAAAAGTATCTTATGCTGACACTATACACTCAACAGATTGGCTTAAAGGAGACTGACTACACGAGTGTGGACAAGAACAGAGGCAACCAGAGCTTATACACCACTGATGGAAATGTGAACTGACACAAGCAGAAAACTAGCCACTGTCTTTGAAAATTGAACATACATGTGACTCAACAATTCTAATTATATACCTAACAGAAACCTATATATGTGTACCAAAATGATTGACTGATTCATGCAGTACTGGGGACTGAACCCAGGGCCTCATGTATGCCAGGTAAGTATTCTATCATTCAACATTTCTCCAACCCATTTTTGTTCACTTTTTATTTTGAGACAGGTCTTCACTAAGTTGCCTAGGTAGGTATCCCTCCTGTTCAGCTTCCTGGGTAGCTGGGATGACATACAGGCTTTCACCACCAAACCACATGATTGTTCATATAATATATATATAATAGTAATTCCCACCAAAGGAGGAACAGAATTAACAGGACAGCTAAACTGAAACAGTGAAAATAAATGAAATAGTGCTCTATAACACAGGCAGATTCTATGCAGTGAAAGAAGTCAGAGAAATACACACTATATGATTCTATTTCTACAGTTGGAACAAGAGCAGAAAAACACAAGCTAATCTGTGGTGAGAAGACAATGGTTATTTTTAAGGGACGGGAAGGGAGTACTGGTAACTGAAGGCACAAGATGGCCTCTGGAATCTGGGTGGATCCTGCTTCTGAGTTGTCATTACAGTGCTCACTGTGGAAATTCATCTAGCTAAACCTCATCATCTGTGCACTTGTTTGTGCATTTCTACAATTTAAAGGATATTAAAAACTTAAAGGCAGACGAGTCTTTGGTAAACAATCAAACCAATAATGAAGATGATGCTAGAATCAAAGACCAGATGAAAAAAGACATTAGCTTTATACAGAGCTGAACAAAGAGGATTCATTCTTTATTAAGAATTTCTTCCTTTGTCTGACTCCTTTAACCTGTGAACAAAACAAGGGAAGATTTGGCTACAGTGACAGGATGAATTATAAAAGGCAACAATCTTGGCAATGCAAAAGTAAACATGCAGGTAAAAGAAAAAACAGAGAAAGAATAGTGGAGATAAAATGGAGTGGAGACAAGGACAAAGCTGGGTAGAGAAGCATGGGGGTCGGGGGGGGGTAGTCTGAAGGACCAGGAGATTAAGGTCATCCTCAGCTACACAGGGAATGGGCTACATGAGACCTTGTCTCAAAAATCTAAAAGGAAAAAGAAATCCTGACTAAAATAGAACAAGAGACTATGAGACTAAAAACATTGTGGCTTTGCCACAATATTCTGCATATTATTATAACAAAGAGAATTACAAAACAATAATCTATCAAACACTAGAAAGAGAAAAGAAAAAAGGAAGGGAATCTTTCAGGGCTAAAAATCTGAAAGATAACATTATTCACATAACTAGAAATGACTAGAAAAGTTTGCCTTCAAGATGCCAAACAGGGAGAAACAGAGAGTTTCTGTTCCACTAGAAATTTTTCTAAAACTGGCTATCATTTTAATTAAATATTTTTTGAATTTCTGTTTTTACAAAGAAAAAACTTGGGGCTTGAGAGATGGTTCAGTAAGCAGTTAAGAAGCTTGTTGCAGGGCTGGAGAGATGGCTCAGCAGTTAAGAACACTGACTGTTCTTGCAGAAGATCCAGGTTTGAATCCCAGCACCCACACGGCAGCTAACAACTGTCCGTAACTCCAGTCCCAGGGGATCCAACAGCTTCTTCTGACCTCCACGGGCATTGCACAACATGGGTGCACTTACCTACATGCAGGCAATACACATAAAATAAATAAAAGTCAAAAAAAAATTTAAATTAAAAAAAAAGAAAGCTGTTGCTCTTGCTTTAGAAAATCTAAGTTTAGTTCCTAGCACCCATATCAGGTGGCTCACAACCACCTGTTACTCCAGCTTCAGAGGATCTGATACTCTCCTCTGGTCTCTGTGGGCTCCTGCACACATGTGGCATACACTTACACAGACACAGGCATAGGCATACATATATACATATACAAGCCCATCAACCTGAGTTGGATCCTCAGAATCCATGTAAAGGTAGAAGGAGAGAACCAATTCCACAAAGTTGTCCTCTGACCTCCATAAGTACACCATGGCATGTATACTCCCTCATCCTTACACACCACACCCCATACACATACACACACACATTTTTATAAAGGGCAATTAGGATATTCAATCATTTATAAATTTAAATAAACAATGTATCCCACAAAATGGAAGTTTACAATATATTTCAAGCAATATTATCAAATATTCTAAATGCTATTTTTACATATATTATAATTTTTGTTTATGCTATCTTAAAGTGAAAATAAGTTTTCCCAAATTATTTCCTATTTAAATAACAATTATTAAGTTAAATCAGAATAAAACTCTAGAATCATTAAAAATTTTTCTTCTATTTTCCTCTGACAATTTACTACCTAAGCAGGTCCATATGTTACATTTCTAAAAGATTATGCCTTAGCAGAAAGCCAATGACAAAATGTATAGCAAGACAAATTATCTTACCTCCTTTTCTTCACCAACTTGGTCCAAACTCTCATGACTTGAAGGATTATATGGAATTACTAAAAATTCAGTGCCAAATATAAAAAAAAAAGAAAAACTATCAATGTTGAATTTGACATGAAATTTTTCTTTTGATGATTTCTTCTTAGTTCTTACATATGAATAATTTTAAGACTGAGTATTTTTCCTAACAAACACATTTGATATTATGAATAAATTTAAGAATAAAAATCCTAATCTTTGCAGCCAAGTGCTGCTTTTAGCAAATATTTCTACTCTTTTCCTCTTCTTTACAAATGAAACAAATCTTTCTATAAGACTGATACTGGACATCGGAGTTTTTCACATGACTGGAGCCTAGAGATTGAGGGCCTCTGCCCTTCACATCTCATTTTCTTCATATTCAAAAATGTCTGACTACCACAGAGATCAAGGAACGAACTGACAAGGTAGGGCCTCTATTCCTTAAAGCTACTGGAGCGTGTGCGTGCATGTGTGCGTGCCAAAGCCCATAGCTTTTAGACTTTTCAAGTTTCTTCTATGACCAACAGACAACATTCTGTCCTTTAGAAAAATTCTCTTAGCTTCCAAATTTCCAAAAGCATGCTTAAGATTTTGTTCCTATTTAATATTTTAACATGTATCACATTTTAGACATTGCTATATTCTGTATCTCTGTATTTTTCATCTTCTGATAAGCTTTTGAATAAAATCAAGCCACTTGAACACAATCAACATGGCTCCAAAATCAGCTTTATGTTTTTTCATTGTGGAAAAAGAAACTAAGCTTGCTAATTTCAATGATTCTCAAAAGTATTTATCTGAAATATAAGTCGTTTGTTAGTTTACATAGTTGTCTTTTTATGCTAAATATGTATATTGAAATATTATAACTAATCTCACCACCACAAAATATGCTTAGATACTTTATTGCTTTTAAACATAGGTAGAGAGTCTCCCACATGATAGTGGAAATAAGGCTACAGGAGGTGGAAAGAGGTTAGCAAGGGAGATGGAAGAGAAAAAGGGGAGAAGCAGCAACAGAAATTTTGTTGAAAATGCCATAATAATAATAATAATAATAATAATGCCAATTTAAAAAAATAAAGAAATGAAGTTCAACATGAGAAACTTCATTTGATAAAACAGTTCCCCAAGTCATCTCCAGCTGCTCCTCACTCTTACCTGTCTGTGCGTGGTCTGAATGTATGGATGACTGGTCCATGGGTATCACTGGCTCCTACAAATATTTACAAAGACACAGTACCTTAGAAGAGTCTAAGTCCCAATACCTCTATAAATGCAGAAATAACAGTATTTCAATGAGACATAGCACACTGAAATTTAAATGTGAGATTATAAGTGAGATGAATTACATTTGAAAAAAATTTGTGTTTTGCCTGCATGTATAGAAGTGTATTTGTGTGTGTGTGTGATGCCCATGAGGCCAGAAGAGGGTGTTAGATCCCCCAGTACTAGAGTTATGGATGGGTGTTGGCTACCATGTAGTTACTGAGAACTGTGGAAGTTGGTTCTTTCCTTCCAGTGTGAGATCTGGGGATTGAACTCTGGTCCTTGGGCTTCCAAAGCAATTGCCTTTACCTGCTGAGCCATCCCATTGGCCCTGATTTGGTTATCTTTTTATATCTGTCAATAGCCTCATTGTTTTTAGCATAAAAGCTTGCTGTATGTCTTCACTGTAACTTATTTAATTGGTTCCTTGTGATCGAACATTTGAATTGTTTTCTAAGTTCTGTAAAGAAAATTGTAATGAACTTCCAGTAAATAAATCTTATTTCCTGAAGGATCTAGGAGTAGAGTTATTAAGTTAAAAGAAAACCAGGGTGTATCGTTCTAAATTATCCAGTGGAATGATTATACCATCCCTATTCATAGGACTTTGTTCTTTGCTGCTGTGATAAATGCCTTGACCAAAAGCAGCTTGGGGAGGAAAGGGTTTATTTCAGTTGCAATTCTGGGTCACAATCCACCACTGAGGGAAGGTAGGGAAGAACCTATGTAGGAGCTGAAGCAGAAACTATGGGGGAATGCTGCTTACTGGCTTTCTTCCCCTGGCTTGCTAAGGTACAGCCCAGACCCACCTGCCTAGGGATGGCACCACCCACAGTGGGATAGGCCCTCCTACATCAGTTAGCAATCCAGAAAGTGCCCTGTAACACACCCACAAGCCAATCTGATGGAGGCAATTCTTCAGCTGAGGTTTCCTCCTCCCAGATGTGTCAAGTTGACCACATAGATTGTCCATCATAGACCTTCTTTGGAAATTTGTGAAAATAAGTTATAGCTGGTGACTTGCTGGTATGAGGATTATTTAGCTAGATTGTTAAAGTTTTAGAATGGGTTTGTAGTTAAAGGTGGGGGGACCCACAATTTTAAGTAAAATGGAAGACTAAGAATTATAAGCAAGCTGGGCATGATGGTACATGCCTTTAATCCCAGTAAGCAGAGTCAGGTGGATCTCTGTGAGTTCAAGGCCAGCCTGGTCTACATTGTGAATTCCAGGCCAGCTGGGGCTACAGGGAGACCCTGTCTCAAAAAGACCAAAAAAAAAATTATAAGCATAATTTATCCAGGTTTCTGTTTATGCTGGTTAGTTTTTTGTTTTTTGTTTTTGAAATTAAAAAAAAAATATATTTTTTTTAATGTGTATGTGTGTAAGTGCACCTGTGTTTTGCAATGCTCATGGAAGTCAGGAGAAGGTCTGGATTCCCTGGAACTGGAGTTAGGACCGTTGTTAGCCACTATGTGGGTGCTGGGAAGTGAACCCAGGTTCTCTGCAAGTGCAGCTAGTGTTCTTAACCACTGAGTCATGTCTCCATGCTAGTTCCCGTTAGTTTAGTGTCTGAAGTGTTATGTTTGCTATTTAAAGTTTGAGGTTACTGTAAGACAAGTATTTTAAATTTTAATGTTTTTACTTTTTAATTAAAACATTTTATAGAAAAAAAATAGGGGATATACAAATGAATAAGGAAAATTTTGGGTCGGGCGTGGTGGCGCAGTACACACACACACACACAAATTAAATAAATAAATAAATAAATAAATAAATAAATAAAATCTTTTAAAAAGATGTCCAAAAAAAATAGATGACCAAGGGGGCCAGAGGGGTGGCTCAGCAGTTATCAGAGCTTATTGCTCTTCCAGAGGACTCGAGTTCCCAGCATACACATTACAGGGTCCACAACTACCTATAACTCCAGCTCCAAGGGATCTAACATCCTCTTTTTTGGCCTCCACGGAGACCCATCCTGAACATGGCACATAACCACACAAATACACATAAAAATCTTTGAAAAAATGATCAAATTATATTTTTCAGTGAGAAAAATAACTAGGAAAGGATGCATGTCCATGGCCTAACTTTTACTAAAAGCACATAAAAGAAAAAGATACATTCAATGTAATGAGCAAAATTATTCAACACCTTAAATGACTAAGAATCATTGCTTCTTCTACAAATTCTAAAAGGGAAAAAGTGGGAGAAGGAGAAGCAGGGTATTAAAATATCAAAGAGACATGAATCAAATGCAATTTGGATCCTGTTTCATAATGAAAATTTTAACTCTCATCGCACAACTGAAATTTTGAACACTGCCTAGATTGACAGTTTATATAAAAAGCTTATTTAGACGGGCATGGTGGTGCACACCTTTAATCCCCTCTAGAGGCAGAGGCAGGTGGATCTCTGTGAGTTCAAGACCAGCCTGGTCTACACAGCGAGTTTCAGGACAGCTGGGACTACAGGGAGACCCTGTTTCAAAAAAACCAAAAAAAAAAAAAAAACCCAAAACAAAACAAAACAAAAAAACAAAAACTAAAACAAAACAAAAGCTTATTTAATTGGTTCTTTGTGATTGAACATGTGAATTGTTTTCTAAGTTCTGTTTTAGCTATATTCTTAAAAGTCTTTTAGAGACATCTACTAAAATATGTTTCAAAATAACTCCAGGTAAGGGAGGTTAAGTGGATGGGATTACAGATGAAAGCAAGACTGGTCATGGCTGCTGGACTGGAGCCAGGTGGCTGGTATGCGGGGGTTTACTACATTGTTTCACCCACTCTCATATGCTTCTATTTTTCCATATATAAAATCACATTTTTGAGGAATTTTTTTTTTAATCCACTTTTTTTTTGGTCTTTTTGAGACAGGGTCTCCCTGTAGCCCCAGCTGTCCTAGAACTCATTATGTAGACCAGGCTGGCCTTGAATTCACAGAGATCCGCCTGCCTCTGCCTCTGGGAGTGCTGAGATTAAAGGTGTGCGCCACCACGCCCGACCCAAAATTTTCCTTATTCATTTGTGTATCCCCTATTTTTTTTCTATAAAATGTTTTAATTAAAAAGTAAAAACATTAAAATTTAAAATGCTTGTCTTACAGTAACCTCAAACTTTAAATAGCAAACATAACACTTCAGACTTTTTACCTGACCTCTACGTAGGATAGACACTAAACTAACGGGAACTATACATTAATGAGTTTAGCTCAAGAAAAGAGGGGGGGAAACCTCTTAAATGTTCTTTCTACATCTTTGTAATTTTAGACCAGAGAATTTTATACTAGGAAGATCAAACAAAGAAGTAACTATATCCTATAAGCAAATGTTATCAGAGTTATTTCAAAACTTTCAAAGTTTATAATATCTTAAGTGGAATGCAAGGAATTCTTACACACTTTCTGTAACAATTTTCTGCGATGAAGTTCTATAGCAGCTTCTGTTTTAACCCTGTTTCAGAAATATTGAGGCATGCTACATATATGTGTGTACAAACAAAAATCCCATGTCTTACCGGTGGCAAAGAATGCCGTCCACACTCAATGGTGACAAGCTTGTGGCACTTCTTATGGACCAAGAGTTTGCAATTGATGCACTTATACCCTTGGCGTCCAAGTCCCCATATTCTGTCTGTGCAGATAGCACAGTGAGCACGCTGTGAAGGGCAAATTCAAGAGTACTTTATCATCAAACACGGGTCATAGCTACTTATAACAGTTTGTTCATAAAGATTAAAAAATGCCCAGTGTGGTGACACCCAAAGGGAAGAGGCCAGCCAGGGCTATACAGTGAGGCCCTGTCTCAAAACAAACAAAAAACCCATTAAGTATTTAAAAAATAAGTGACTTCTTTCTCCAACTGAATCTCCTTTATTTTAACAGTTGTTGGCCCATGACAAAAATCAAAAAGGAATTTCCTCATACATAATTTTTCAAAGGTTATGAAGGCCAGTGAAAAATAAACAGAAAGAGAATGAAATTTACAACCATGTTTTTTCTGATATTAAGCTCAAGAAATTTCCATTTTCACAAAAATTTCACAAGCAATAAAACAAAAAAGTGAATAAAGCTTGAAAACCTATCCAGACTATGCAGAGGTCACACCAAAGCTCCACTTTCTTAAAGGACTTAATAGGTAAAGCAACTAACTTCATGTTTCAAAAAGCCTTTGTCAGTGCTAATGGGAATAAGCATTTAGGGATCTCAGGGGGTCATTTCTACTGGCATTAATGCGTTAAGGACTTGACATTAGTTGTAGTATGGAACCGAAATCCATAAATGTATGTTATCAAGAGAACTTAACCCAGGTATGGTAGCTCATACCTGTAATCCCAGCACTTGGGAATCTGAGGCAAAAGGACTACCACAAGTCTAGGCCAACCTCAGCTACACAATAAGAATGTGTCCCCCCCCCACCCCCCCGCACGTAACTCTTGCTTTACTACTTACTGGCTGAAAATCTTAGACAAGTCACTGAATTGCCCTGTCCTTCATTCTCCTCATCCATAAAATGGACATATACAGTACCTATCTCACAGGGTTGTTGTAAGGACAAGTGAGTTGATACAGGAAAGCATTTGGGAAACTCTTTTCTAAACAGTGAAAATTAAATTACAACATTGCAGGGCTTTCAAAACCAACCCTGCTCATTTTCTAGCTGCTCAGAATTAGATTTAAATGTACAGTTTTCTTAAATGTATAATTTCCTTAGCTGGGATAACCAAGTAATTCATCATCTGAGCTGAGCCTTTTTTTTTTTTTAATCTGGAACATCTTTATAGTGATGGGGGCTCTGAGTGTAGCTCAGTGAGGCAGAGTGTGGAAGGCTGGGGTGAAAGAAGACACTATATAAACAGAGGCATAGTGACACTAACTGGCCATGTAAGGCCACGCTGCCTACTCCTTTAAAAGGAAATCAGAAGATGCAATGACAAAGCTACTTTTCTCTCATAAAATGGAAACACAGAAAGAGATGTCATAAATTATCAGCATTCATCAAAATAAGTTTACCCTGTTGAAACGTTTGGCTTGAAAAGTGTGACCATTTGCACAATAAAGCTTTCTCCATCGGCGCGCACCTCTGCGGTAGATGGATTCTGAAGATGAAGTTTAAAAAGGAAAAAAAAGCAAGTGTGAATAACAGTCACTTAATAACTAAATCTGACTTTTATATGATATTTATTGCAGAAAAAAGAAACAGTGATGCAAACTGGAACCTGAAAAGGCTATGCAGGTTCTCTTAAGGACAAGGTGAAATCAAGTCCAGGGAGCATGACTGTTAGAATAATTACTATCACTTTTCTTTTTAAAAAATTTCCCCCTAGTTTTTAAAAAAATGTATTTTTATTATGCGTATGAATGTTTTGATTCCATGTATGTATGTACATCCATGAGTTCAATGGCTGTGGAGGTCAGAAAAGGGCACTGGATCCCCTGATGGTTGTTAGCTGCTATGTGGGTGCTAGGAACTAAATCCAAGTCCTTTGAAGAGCAGCCAGTGGTCCTAACTGCTAAGCCATCTCTCTAGCTCCTCCCCAGATGTTTTATTTGAGAAAAATTGATGCTCAAAGAAAGTTTGGGGAGTAAACACCTGCATCCTTCAGCTAGCTTATCAATGACCACTGCTCTGTCATATTTGCGGTCTTCTCTATAAAGGCTTCCTTTTTTCAGAACCATCTGGACGATGCAGACATCAGGAAGCTTATTTGACCGCAGACTAAGGATATTATAATTTCATAGAACCACAGTGTTATTACCATGCCTTAGAAAACCAACTTCAGTGTCATTCAATGTGAAGCTCATATACAAATTTCCTTAACCAAAAGCTCCTAAAGTGCCTTCTTTCAAAGCTATCATTTTCCAACCAGAACAAATCACCACCAGGCATTACATTTGGATTGTCTGTCTGGTTGGTTGGTCTCCATCTCTTAACATATTCAAAAACAGTCTGCCGTCCCTATTCTTCAAGTGTTAAGCAGTGGTCTTAGCTCCACATTCTGGGGCAACTTCATGAACAGTCAGTACTAAATACTTTAGACAAAAATAATATAGATATGGTGTTGTATTTCTTATGGCACTGCATCAAGAGGCACACAAATGCCAGAACATCAGCTCCTGCTACCGACAATCTCCTTTACAAGTGATGATCATGATCTCTTCATTGCAAAGTATAGTTTACTTCATATAATTAATCTATGAATTATATTTTGTAGCCTCATTTTCAACAAACTTTTCTCCTTTTTTTGTTTTTGGCACGGTTCTAGGGTTTAACCCAAGACCTCTCCATGCTAGGCAAACATTCTACCTCTTGGCTATAGCTCCAACCCACTCCAAAGGTTTTTATATGAATGCTAGTTTTAAACACAGAGGAAGAGGTTACAAAAGATCAAATCTAGTCCACTTCTTATTTTGGCAATCTATCACTATTATATTTGTTGCCTACTAGTCATTACTGGTAATATTCCTTGTTAATGCTAGGGAATGTTTCTAAAATCTTATTTTAAAACAAATTTACTATTTCAAATTAATGTAGCAAATACCAGCTACAACACTCTCAGAAATCTTTGCAGAGCTGGGAATTAAAACCAGGGCCTAAATTAAAACCCTTGCAGAGCTGGGAATTAAAACCAGGGCCTAAAACATGCTAGGAGAAATCTTGAGATTAGCACAATGCATAACATTAAACAGATTATTTTAATTATACATTACTAGCAACAGCCAAAGCATTTTAATCTAAAGGAGCATCCCATTCCAGACATTTTTAGAATGACCTCGATGTACCTTAAAATTAAACATTTTACTATTGTCTGAGAATTAAAAAGGACCAAGAGACCACAAATAGTTACCGATTTTCCTCTAGAGTTTAGTAATATTTATTTTACTGGGGAAGAGATGGCTTCAAAAACTCCGCCAATAAATGTAAAAAAGGAAGTGAAGCGCAATGGAAAGTCCAGACATTTTATTTTACAGAGAAACATACCACGGACTACAGTAGATTCAGGTGGACATAGGATCCTCAAAGCAAGAGCCATAATGCCAAGTCTTTCAAAAGTCTGGCTCTGGACAAGGAGACACCTACTTTCTCCAGAAGCTCTGTAAAGACGGCCTGCACTGGCTTTAAGTCCTCTGTCACTGGAAGCCCAGCTGAACGAAGCCTGAACTTTCACTACTACCTAGTTTCACCACTGCCTGACGCTCTACTTATTCCTTGTATGTCCCCATCTTCCTGGGCAGCACATTACGTCCATTTCAGATTAGAGCTCCTCATTTGTCCCTGCTCACCAAGAGGCATGAAGTCATAGAATTAGAAGTTTAGAGTTGAAAATCTCAATTCAAAACAGAACATCCACTACTATTCTTTTTAAAGTCATGGATTTATTTTTAAAGTCTTTTTAAAGTCAGAAAAATCATAAATGAAAATGCATTTTCATAATGACTCCTAACAACATGTCTGCTGAAGTACTTGTAAGTGAAGTGTCATGTAAATTATTCTCAAATGATATAGCACATATATGTACATACATAAAGCAACAAAACAAAGGGTCTATTAGGTATATATGTACCTGCATATGTGCATACACAAACAGCTACAAGGGTAAACAGAAAAAATGCTATATCTGGACAAAGGATAAACAGATATATTTGTTCCCAATGTTTCAAATTTTCAACAGATTTGAAAATAATCTAAAATGTAAAAGCATGAAACCACATGACTTAATTTTCCTTTTATATGTACAATTACGTCAGTTGTAACTAGCCGAATTTCATCAAGCAAAAATGGAGCTTAGGCAGTTACTAATATATTTCAAATTAGACTAAAGAAATAGAAAACAAATCAAACAAAGTTTTATTTCTGACTTCTTTTCAATAGTAAATAACTCTTCAAGTGTATAGAGTACTATAAAACTCACTATCTTCTCCTGGACAAGGCATTCCAGGACGTTCTGGCACACAAGGAAATACTGAAAGAAAACAAATTAAAATTAGGTAACAGCATTTTTTTTTTTTGGTCTTTTTGAGACAGGGTCTCCCTGTAGCCCCAGCTGGCCTTGAACTCACAGAGATCCGCCTGCCTCTGCCTCCCAAGTGCTGGGACTAAAGGTGTGCGCCACCATGCCCGGCAGCAGCGTATTTAAAATATACAAATCATATACAATTAAAACTAACCCAAATTTCAAAGTGACTTGAGGCACTTGAGATCAGATCTTTAGCATATGGCCAATATCATTTGTTGAAGGTACCCACTTTACTAAGGCTACATAAAGACAGTTTTTGTGAAAACAAATCTATTTATAAGCAACCCAGTAGAAGTTCAAATGACTAATTCTAATCCCTTGTTATTAATCACTAATGTTTTTGTCCTTAAAGAAATTATCTATTATTTAAAAAAATCCCTGCTATAGTGAATTATTCAACTACAACAATGTATACAAATGTTAAATATAGAACAAAAGAGTTTTTAAAAAGATATGCACTAAATTCAGGAAGGAATTAGCACCAGCAACAACACCAAAAGAACCCCCCAAATATAAGTTTATATTAGGGCTATAAATTTATAAACACACCAAATAAAAACCCTCTTGTTTTTGAGACAGAGTCTCCCCTATAGCCTCAGTTGGCCTGGAACTCACTATGTAGTTCTCACAGAGATCCACCTGCCTGTACCTCCCAAGTGCTGGGGCTACAGGTGACTAAATGTAAACTTTTGAAAATAGATCTAAGATGTGGTATTAGGAGCAATGAAATGTAAGACTGTTCTCGTGTGTGTATGTGTGTGTGTGTTTGCTTAAGCCAACATTGTGTTAGGCATACTCTACAACTAAGCTAAGTCCCCAGCTCTTGTTTTTTTCAGACATGGTCTCACTATGTAGCTCAGGCTGGCCTGGAACACAAGATCCTCTTGCCTCTGCCTCCAAGTTTTAGGATAACAGGAAGTGCCACCGTCTGAATGGCTGATTATTTCTCACCCCACTACCCAGAATGACTTCTAGAAGCTGACTGGAATGTCTAACTTGTGAGGCAACAGAGATCACATCTTACTATCCTAGAAGACTACACAGATAATACATTTCTCCTAGAGTGGAAAAAGCAGAATCCCTTTATCTTCTCCAGCATCTGAAAACACAACTGAAGGACAGCTGCACGGGGATGACGGCACACAATAAAATGACACCAGCATTAGTTTTTAAATGGCCAATAATAATCTTTTTAAATTACAGCTCTGCAGGAGTAAAGTGATTGCTCTCTTACCATGAATCAAGAGTTCAGAATCTTTGTTTAGCTCATAAAGCCGGAAGGCTTCTTCTAACTCCAACTGAGATGATACTGTGCAAGGGTCTCCTAAAAAATATGAAGAGCAAAGTTCAACTTCAAAACCTCTAGTGATATGATTATTGAACAAACTCCATAAATAATACCTGGGGGAACATCTGGCAAGAACAGATGTTCAGATAGTTCCTTAGACATTTGACTCTCTGAAGTAGACAACATAACATCCATTTCTATTTGCACAGATTACATGAGGTTCAGACATCAAATGTTATTAATGCACACCCACTCTAGTCTTAATAACGTATACATATTTAACATACAGCAAACATATCTACTCAGACCACATTTTAAACTGTTATGGCCCCATGAGATAGGCATGGTCAACAGCAAGCGTCTCCCCCACCCCCTTCTTCTTATTCAGTATTGTGGATCGAACCCAGAGCCTCATGCATGCCTGGCAGGAGCTCTACCATGTAGACCCAGCCCCATTCCCTTTTTTGGTCTGTTTGGGGATAGGGTCTCACTAAATTACTCAGGCTGGTCTTGAACTCATTGTAGACCAGGCTGGTCATGAAAATATAATCTTCCTGCCTCAGCCTTCCTGTGCCACCAGGCCTGCCTACCAGTTTATTCAGAAGAGGAATAAAATCAGCTCTACTGCCATACTGTGGTTGGTTAGGGTTGTCTCCAAGTAATGATTTTGCCATCATTTTTCATTCACATTACAATCCTGGTCAAATAAGGCACAGGAAAGAAACCACTAAAGTACTCCAAACTAAGAACAGTCTAACTTGAGCTACTTTTAAAACAGAGTATCTTGGGGCTGGAGAGATGGCTCAGTGGTTAAGAACACTGGTTGTTCTTGCAGAAGACCCAGGTTCAAATCCCAGCCCCCACGTGGCAGCTAACAACAGTCCATAACTCCAGTCCCAGGGGATCCGACGGCGTCTTCTGACCTCCACGGGCATTATACAACATGGGTGCAGTTACCTACATGCAGGCAATACATAAAATTTTAAAAAACAGTATCTTTTATTTTTTGACAATTTCACATATGTAAATAATGCATGTTGATCATATATGCTCCCAATTCCTCCTTCCAACTCCCCAAGACACCCCCAACATACTCCCCTCCCCCTTCATGTGCTCTCCTTTTTCTTTTCTTTTTTTGCTTTGTTTTGTTTTTTTTGAGACAAGGTAGCACTATGTAGCACTGGCAGGCCTGGAACTTGCTCTGTAGACCAGACTGGCCACGAAGTCAAGAAATCCTCCTGCCTCTGCTAGGACAAAAGACCTGTGCCACCAGGCCCAGCTTTAAGACCCCTTCTTTTCACATAACCACCAAGTCCAATTAGGGCTGCCTGTTGGAATACTGACTTGATCATGTGTAGGTAACCATGGCTGCAGTAAGTTCATGGGTGCAAAGATCATGTTACATTCTGTAGTCAGAATTTCACAGCACCTCTCCTAATCGTCTGCTAGTATTCTTCCCCGCGCCCCCTTTTCTGAGATGTTCTCTGAGCCTTGGAGTACAGATGCCCCATTTAGGGCTGATCACCTGAGCTACTTTTTAAAAAATATTTTATTTATTATTTTTATTTTATGTGTATGAGTGTATTGCCTGCATGTCTGTGAGTGCACCCGTAGCTTGCAATGCCGCAGAGGTCAGAAGAAGGCTTCAGATTCCCCTGGAACTGGAGTTAAGGACGGTTCGTAGCTACCATGTGGGTCCTGGGAATTGAACCCAGGTCTTCTGAAAGAGCAGTCAATGCTCTTAACTGCTAAGCCATCTCTCCAGCCCCTACTGAGCTACTTTTAAATGTAGTATGTGCAGTTTTAGTAAAACACACACAGAAGAGGGTGCTGACCAGCCAGAGCTGAGTCAAACCTGGTGGTCAAGAGGTGGCCTAACTCTTTGTACAATGACATTCCTTAATGAGCAAGTCATTTAGAGCAAAGCTGGAGCCTGAGCAGGTTCTTCCCTGCTGCCATTCTTGTGCTCATTCCTGTGGTTAGAGGAAACATTCCTACATGCTAGATGCCACCAACACTGCAGAAAACCTGATGGCTACCTGAGAAAAATGAAGTCATTTCTTTTCTGCATGAAATGGTAGGCAGATGGGAGTCCCAAAGGCTAGAAGACAGGAGAAATAGTTTTTGTAGACCGGACAGGATGAGTGAAGAAAGTCTGGCAATACTGTCACTGAAGGCAATACAGAAAATAGAAAATGTTCTCAAAGAAACAGTAGCTGCAGCTACAAAGATTGTAATGACTAGGCAGGAGGTTCAAAGTATCAAATAGTTTCTTTCAACTGCCAGATGGAAAGAAATGTCAAATACAAAATCATTTTCAGTGAAGCCTGGTTTTCAAAAAGTAGAAAAGACGTTTACTTCCAAGCCAAATCTCACCTGGTTTGAAAATAAAGCTACCTCTCAGGAGGCAGAGGCAGACGGATCTGTGTGAGTTCAAGGCCAGCCTGGTCTACATAGTGAGTTCCAGGTCAACTGGGTCTACAGGGAGATTCTGTCTCAGAAAGACAAAAAAGAAAGGAAAATAAAGCTACCTCTCACCCCTCACCCTACCTTCAGGTCATCAAAATGAGGACAGCCTAAGGGCAAAGATCAAATGTATGTTCTTCCACTAAACACTGAGATCTTAAGGTCTGTGTAAAACAATCTTTCAATCTCAGAAAAACTTGTAAGCTCTCTAAGCAAGAGGTATCAGAATATTAAAGGTGTTAATAAGTAGTCCTAAAACTCTCAGTTCAAAATAGAAAGGGTCCTGTCTCAAAGAGATCTGTGTGAGTGTGGCTTTTGTCTAATAGAGCACACTGTAATTTGATGCATAGCAGATCTACAATGTCCAATTCTGCAAAAGTCTATGAAAGCAACTGAGATGCAAATGTCTTTACTTATGAAAAAGAAGAATAAGGGCTAGAAAGATGGCTCAGCAGTTACAAACGTGTACTTTTCTTCCAGAGAATTCCCAGTACTTACACTGGGCAATTCACAACTACCTGCAACTCCTGCTCCAGAGAGGTCCAATGCCTCTGGCATCTGCTGCACCTGAGCATGTATGCAAACACATGTAATTAAAAATAATAAAAGGGGGCTGGAGAGATGGCTCAGCGGTTAAGAACACTGGTTGTTCTTGCAGAAGACCAGGTTCAAACACTAGCACCCACATGGCAGCTAACAACTGTCTGTAACTCCAGTTCCAGGGGATCCAACAGCCTCTTCTGTCTTCTGTGGGCACTGCACGACATGGGTGCACTTACCTACATGCAGGCAATACACACATATACATAAAATAAAAATAATAAAGTATTTTAAAAATAATAAAAATAAATAAATTAAAAAAAGCTCAGTTGGGCATGTGGTACATGCCTTTAATGGCAGTACTTGAGAAGCAGAAGCGGGTGGATCTCTGTGAGTTCCAGGCCAGACAGGGCTACACAGCGAGACCCTGTCTCAAAACAACAACTAACAGAAAGTTCAGTCATCCTTGGCTACACAGGGAGTCGGAGGCCATTATGGGATACATAACCCTGACATAAAATAAAACATAATTAAAGAAACAACCAAAACAAAACAAAACTGAATTAATGAAAAAGGAAGACTGACTCAGAAGGAAATGTCAAGTCATGGAAAAATCACTCAGCAGCAATGAGCTTTAGTGACGGAATTGCAGTATTTGCTATATAGTTCAAACTTTTCCTCTTTTGTGAACAGGACTATCCACTGAGGTATATATACTGCAGCATTATCAACAACAGCCAAGATAAGGAAACAATGCAAGCACTCATCAATGGATGGATTTTAAAAATCCATTTAAATCCAGGGTTAAAGGCTAGAAATGCTGTCATTTGCAACATGTAAGAGCCTGTATGACATTACAATAAGTAAGCCACACACAAAAGACAAATACTTCATGACTTCATTCCTATGCGGAATTTAATAAAGTCAAATTCAAGGAACTGGAGAGATTGATGGTTCCAAGAGGCTGGAACAAAGAGACATTTGTCAAACAGTACAAAGTTCCCCATTAGGAGTCTGTGCTCATGATGCATTGTATAGCATGGTCTTAGTTACTTTTCTTGTCTCTGGAACCAAGTACCTGAGAAGCAACTTAAAGGAGAGAGGATTCACTGGCTTTCAGGCTGAGGCGCGCAGTCCTCTTACTGGGGGGACCAGAAAGCAGAGCGGGTCACTGGAAGTGAGGCTGAGCTGTCTAACTCTGCAGGTGTACCTCAACCCCACATCAGCAACTCATTCTCCTGATGGGCTCCACCTCCTCAAAGGTCCATGACCTTCTCAAATAGCACCACTAGCTGGGGACCAAATTTCCACACACAGCAGCCTATGGGAGGCATGTCGTACTCAGTCCATAAAACACAATGACTACAACTAAGTGATTTTTGTGCGTCCAAGTGCTGCTGGAATTGAACATGGGGCCTCATATGTGCTAGACAAACACACTACCACTGAGTTAAATAAACACCACCTACACCACCCCCCAACCCCAAGAGTAGATTTTAAAAGCTCTCGCCACAAAGAAATGGTAATTATTTGAGGTGGTAAATACTAATTATCCTCATTTGATGATCATTCTACAACATGAGTGTATCAAAACATCATACTGCATCCCATAATTATATACTGTTAGTTAAAAATAAAATTAAAAATTTTAAACTATAATGAAAACTTTAAAAAAAAAAATCACATCTGGAGCTGGAGAGAGGGCTCAGCCGGCTGTTAAGAGCACTGGCTGCTCTTGCAGAGGACCCAGGTTTGATTCCCAGCACCCACACGGCAACTAACAACCATCCATAACTCTTGTTCCAGGTGATCTAACGTCATTTTCTGGCCTCCAAGGACACTGTACACAGGTGGTGCACTCACATACATGCAAGTAAACCCTCAAACACATAAAATAAAATAAATAAAAATGTTTAAAAAAAAAAAACACGTCAGTCCTTGTCCCATGTAAGAGTATAAGGGATCACTGGGTACTGGCCTGTGAGCATGTCTGTAGGGGGTTTTCCTAATTGCTAATTAATGTAGGAGGG